GCGCCGGCGAGGGATGGAGCGCGAGCGAGGGACCTGCAGGGGAGCGGGTTGGTGGAGAGGCGCCGTGCGCGCAGCCGCCCCAGCCGGCCCCGGCCGGCGCGCTAGGGACCCACTGGAGGAGGCGAAGGAGGAGCGCGCAGGCTCACGCACCTGGCTGGGGAAGGGGTCGACTCCTGGCTGGGGCAAGGGAGAACGGGGGCGGGATTTCTAGGGGCTGCGGTGCTCGCGTGGCAAAGTGAAATTACTACCGGGCGTGCGTGCAAGTGAGCGAGCGGCAGGCGGGGGCGCGGGGCAGCGCGCGCGGGGGGCCGAGGCTGCTCGGCCACTACTATAGCACCGCTCTCGCGAGACGAGGCCGAGTAAGGCTCAGCAGGTGCGCTCCGGCTGGGAGCAGGTGTGCGCCTAACTTTAAAGCCCTCTGCGCGTACTGCAGAAACATCGGCGTGAACCTAGGCACGTCCTCTCTGGCTTTCTGGATAGGCGTGTGTGTGCGCGCCTGTCTTTATGTTCGTTTGTCTTTGCTTGTTACCAGGGGAAAATAAAACAAACCTGATGATCTTCCACGAACTGTAGGAAGCTGCATCCCATACCTGGTACCCTGGCCTTTTGCAGTAAGAAAGGGGCTTTTCTTTATTGTTAACCACGTTCCATAAAGGCTTCCTTGATTTGACGGCAACCTACTTAACTAAAAAAATTGTTTTAAATTATTTTATTTAACTTTATTAGTTTATTTTATTTTGACCAGAGAGGGACAGAGTGAGAGAAAATGAGAAAGCAAGTCGCCAGGTACGGGATTAACCACATATGCCATGTGGGAGTCCAACACCCTTAACTACCACACCACCTGCCGGCCCCACTTAACTCAGATTTTATCAGCAAACTATGGGCCCAAAGTTAAGAGTGGTCTTACATTTTAGAATTGTTGGGAAAACATTTTTAAAAATATTTAGTGAAGGCTGGCAGGTGGTGTGGTGGTTAAGGTGCTGGAGTCCCACATGGCGGCCCATGGTTCAAATCCCAGACCCGGTGACTTGCTTTCTCACTTTTCCTCTCTCTTTCTGTCCCTTTCTGATCAAGTCAAAAAAAAATAGTGATGAATAAAATTAAAGAAATAATTCTTTTATTATTTTTTTTTGGAGAGATTTTTGCTATAGGGCACGTGCGCTCACCAGACAGACAGAGACAGACAGAGAGACAGAAAGCGAGAAATCACCCCCCAGGGGGGATGGCCTCGCCGCAATCCCTTCTCCTCCATTCTCCTCTCGGGATCTTGGGCATACACGCACACGCGCCCGGCGTAAGTTTAAGCCACTAGGTCCGGGACTCGAACCTTGGTCCACTACGTGGGAGTCTAACAACTTAGCCATTACGCTAACTACTGGTCCCAAGAAATAATTCTTAAAAAAATTTTGGGGGGGTCAGATGGTAGCACAGAGGTAAACACCAGGCTCTGCAAGGCAATCTAAATGGAAAAAGTTCCTGGTTTAAGTCTGGAGACTTCTCTGAGAATACCCTGCATTCATACATGTGCCTATGATCCAGGGCTGGCTGAGGCTGAAGACAGATCACAGTATCACAAATCACAGTATCAAGACCCAATTGGAGGAGATTCTCTTTCCCACTCTGTCTCTCTCGCTCATACAATAAATGAATAAACTTTTAAAAAATTGTGACATATGAAAATGATATGAAATTCACTTGTCAGTGTCCATGAGTAAAGTTTCATCGAAACACCGCCACCCATTTATTTCTTGCCTATGGTTCCTTTTACATTAGGACAGTAGAGTTCAATAGCCACAACAAAGACCATATGGCTCACAACACCTTAAATTTTTACTCTCTGGCTCTTTACAGAAAAGTTTGCTGACTCCTGATTGAATCTTTGTACCCTGTGTCTACTCTCACTGGGCCATGCTTATCCCTAATCCTCTCCTGCTTGAATACTTGTCATTCAATGTCAATCCAAATGTCATATAAGAAAGAGGACTTATCTCCCTGACCACCTTACCTGATAGGATCCCTAACTTTCATTGACCAAAGAATGTATTTAGGATTATTAACAAAAAACTTCTTTCTCCAAGAGCACAGAGCCCCAAGCTAAGGAACAAGGTTCATGGGGCAGAGTAACACTCAGAAACATGGTATGATATGTCACTCTGAAGTAAACGACTTAAGAAGTAAAGAAAACCACAGCCAGTGATGACCACGATAGATAAACAAACAAACAAAAACTGTTTTTAAGGCTATAGGCCATCGGATGTTATAGCTTATATCTAGCTCAGTCAGCATTTTCAAAACCTGTCAATGAGATCAACTAAGTTCTATATGAGCCCAATCTTTTAGACCATAAAGTTTATAGATTCCAATTATCTAGTAAAAGGAGTTCTCATATATTGCCATCTTTTTATTTTTCTTGAATATATTCATTACATTACTTTAAAGCCCCCACCTAACTCCAAAACCTTGTTCACCTGTGAGTCTCTTTCTATTGACTATTTTTTCTCTGTTTCAGTTATTTGGTCCTGTCTCTTGTCAGGTCTTATAATTTTTATTGACTCTCAGACATTGTGTCTAAAAAATATAGTCTTCAGGGAATGTTATCTAACTCTAGAGAGGGCTCACACTTTTGTCTGCAAGATAGATGGAATGGGGACTGTTTTAATCCAACCAGGGGCTGAACTGGGTAGAGGCTAGGTTTCAGTTTTGATAAGATACTATCTAACGGTGGCATCTACCTTCAAGGTAGAGGCCTTGAGGGTTCCAATTAAGAACCTTGGGAGGTCCTCACCCTCCCTTGTCCTAAGCTCTAACCTTTATCTCCATAGCATAGCAAGACTTGGAAACTCTGCTCTGTTTTTCAGGGGCTTTCTCTTTGCCTTCTTAACCTCTTGCCTGCACTGTTTCAGAGTTTGCCACACATCCTGAGAGGAGAATTGCCATCCATCCAGCTTACTTTTCTGCCCTTCCTTTCTACCTGGGATATTAACCTCTTAGGTCCTTAATTTTGTCTATCCAGCTCTATGAGACTGCCAAAAGTTCTGCTGGTTTCTCTGTCCCCTAGCAGTAGCCTTCTTGCCTGAGACATGGCATGGTGTTCATGGAGTCAGCTCCACCACATGGTTTGGACATCATTTCTGGATGCACAACCCAAGCTTGACTCTCTTGTCCTCCTGGAGATCCTGTGGACTTTTTTTTTCTTTGAAGAGAGAGATTTTTGCTATAGGGTGTGTGTGCTCACTGGAGACCCAGAGAGAGAAAAAGTGAGAAATCACCCCTCTCCCCCAGGGAGATGGCCGCATTGCAATCCCTTTTCCTCCGTTCTCATCTCAGGACTTTGGGCACATGTGCACATACACCCAGTGTAAGTTTCAAGCTGCTGGGTCCAGGACTCGAACTGCAGTCCAGCATCACAACCACTATGCCACCAGCTGGTCCCCCAATTCGGTGGACTTTTTAACAACTCTACTAAAGTCCTTCTACTTAAACTACCTGAAGTAGATTATGTTATCTGCAACAAAGAACCCTAATCAACATTCTAGCCAATAATTCCCAACTAAGGAGATATGATTTAAAAAAATCTAGATCTTTGTCTTTTCTGGAAAAATGGGAAGCTCTTGCTACAGTCTGGTCCAAACACTTCATTCTCATATCCAGTTTAGGTCCTTTTCCCTGCCCCCTTGGATCTGACCCATGGATGACTCAGGAGTCCACAGTAAAGATCCAAACACTTCATTCTCATATCCAGTTTAGGCCCTTTTCCCTACCCCCTTGGATCTGACCCATGGATGATTCAGGAGTCCACAGTAAAGGTGAAAGCAGGTGTGTCACTCCCCTCCTACCTTCCAACTTATCTTTATGGAATGCAGAAGTGGAGGGCTAAGTGGAAAAGAAACCCTCACTTGAGAACAAGTACCGATTACTTCCAATATGTCAGATAACCCACTGTGTCTGTCAAGCATCTTCATGCTACTGTATCATGCAGAGCACACTGGGGGATCGCTGGAGACCCCTAAGAGTTCCCTCTTGTGGGAACACAGTGCACACACTGGTTGACCTTTTGCACACCCCTTTTCCATTCCTACCCCTTTCTGAAGTCCCTTTTTTGGAAGGCTGCTCTCTTGGCTGAGTCTCAGCAGGATGGCTCAAGTCCAAGTACACTCCCGGGAAGCCACCTGGCCCTCGGGAAACAGGACACATTATTGCCCTAGGTGCAGCCCACCCCTCCTCTCACTTGCCATCTTGTGCAGCCCCAGACAGCCTTCAGCTGGCAATGAGATGCCAGCCATACCCCTTGGCACTCCCAGTCTTGTAAGAGATTCTTCTTTGAACACCCTTCTCTTGGTTTGAAAGCTGGGAGAGGGGAAGAAAACTCCCTACAAAGGTTATTGAAGAAAGTTCCTCTGGATAAAATCTTGACCTTGTCTTATATATAGGCCAGAGGTGGATGGTTACTGATGGTCAAAGGACCAGTCTAACCACCCTCTTACCAGAAGGAGGAAGTATTATCACCCACTGCCCTCACCTTTGAAGCTTTAGCTGAAGTGCTGGGTCAACAGGAAAAGTCTCATTCCACATACTTTAATACTAGCAATGAGTTGTCAATTTTATTTTTCAACTTTCCAGAGAGCACATGCAATCACCAGAGAGAAAGTGAAAAAGCATCCATTGGGGATGGCCACACCACAATCCTTTCTCTTGCATTTCTTCCTCCTTTTTGAGATTTTGGCATACACACACATGAGTTGGGTATGTTTTTCAAGCTACTGTGTCTAGGACTCAAACCATGCAATTGGCCATGTGGGATCCAGTTACCTTAACCACCTTGTCACCAGCTGGCCAGC